GCCTCCTGTTTGTAGGTTTTGGAGTTACCTGCATTACCTAGAAGCTGGGACAGATGAACCTTTCTTGAGACCTATGCAAGACTTTTCCTGGGGCCCCATTGCCTACCTGTGGCTAGTGTGCCAGGTACAGGGTCCAGGTGTAGCATCAGGCTTGTCTGGCCTCTGTCCCTGGAGGCTTGACTGCAGCCAGGGATTTCTGCTGTGGAGGAGCCTCTTGCAGAATTCGTCATGTTCATGAGAAACACATGGAGAAAGACGCCCACTGTGCTGAGAAAATGGACCCCATGGGGTCAGCACAATGAAAATACGAAAATGTAGCCACAAAAGAGCAAGTCCCTTGCAAACCCCTTGCATGGTGCTTTAAGCCGCTCCTTCCCTCCCTCCCTGCTGCCCTAGCTGTGTCTGCTTTCCTTGCTTTCTAAAAGCTGCTTTCTGAAACCCTAATGACAAACCATCAGCACCAGATCATCCCTCCCAGGGCTTGCCTCTGCCTCCACCACTCCCTGTCACTAATCTGGGCTTCCCTGGGGAGGCTGCCAGAGAAAGTTCATGTAACTCAATTGTAGTCAGGTTGGCTGGCAGGGGATTGGCCCAAGTCTGTCTCCTGGATGCTACTCACGGGGCCAGATCAAGGCTGCACCAAGAGGCTGGAGAAGGCCAGAGGTCAGAGATAGTACCTGGGGGTAAAAGGAATATGTTGAGCAAGGCATGGTGGCACATGCCTTTAATCCCAGCACTTGGGAGGCGGATCTCAATAAGATCATGCCCAGCCAAATCTACATAGTAAGTTCCAAGCCAGCTGGGTCCCTATCTCAAAAAAAAAAAAAGAGGAATTTGGTGAGCCTAAGGTGGGGGCTTCTTGCCAGAATTCCTATTTCCTCTCACAAGGACAAACCAGGGAAGCAGCTTTTGCCTCCCCAACAGGCACTGGTCCAGGCATTACTGCCTGACTACCCGTGGCTTTGGTCTGCAGGTAATAGGAGATGGATGATCTGTAAGTCCTCTTGCCTTGAGCCATTCTCTGGAACTTGGAGAATGGATTGGCACTTGTGTCCTTTGTCCTGGCAGTTATGTGCCTTCCTGCTCTGTCTTCTGTGGCCACAATGGAAGATGGAACATGGAGACGTTTACCCCATTTTGATTTCAATTCCAGCACCGCCCCTGAACCTCCATTATCATCAGCCTGTAGTATTTAAGAACTTGGAATATTTGAGCTACTTGTCCTGAGCTCAGAGCCTGGCAAAGGAGGAGTTTCTGGATGGAACCTCAGTTAATCCCACAAGAACAGAAAGAATGGCTTGAATCTGTTAAGGCATTTCAGTTTTTACACTGGGTTTGGTTAAGATGATGGATTGGGGGGCTGGAGAGATGTCCTAGCAGTTAAAAATGCTGACTGCTCTTGCAGAGGACCTGGGTTCAGTTTCTGGCACACACATGGCAGCTAACAACTCTCCATAACTCCAGTTCCAGGGGAATCCAATGTCCTCTTCTGACCTTCGACCTTCTGACTCATACACATAAAATAAGATATTTAAAAAAAAAATAGATTGGGGGCTACTTTAAAAATTAACCTCAAGATCTTCATAAATATATTAAGATTAATGTGTGCAAATCTTAAGGGCTATTTTGTTATTCTATTTTCAAACCTTGTATCTTAGAAAATAAACTCAACCTTTCTCTTTTAGTTCTGTGCTGGATACTGAACTCAGGGCCTTTCCCAAGCTAGAAGAGCACTCTACCACTGAGATACACCCCCAACCTTGTTTTGAAAACAATATTTCAAATGATTTTCCTACTACTAAATTCTGCTCATTGGACATGAATTCCTGTTTTGGAAAATGGCAATTTGCAAGCTGTTGCTTCATGAACTACTTCAATGAATGTGGTAAACTTAGTAAGAGAAGAGAGACCATGAGCAAGGAAGAAGGAGCCATTTGAAGGATATATACTCTCCCAGTCAATGCCCTGCCTGCCATGGTGGGCCAGAACATCCATTTAATGACTCTCCCCAACTATCACCTTATTCTGTTCATGAAATAACCCTGCTGTGGCAGAAAGAAAAGACCTTCCAGCTGGCTTCCTTTATCAATCACAGAATGTTCTAGGATGTTTAATTAGCAGGCTGAGGTTCTAAGGACTGGGCACTAACATATACTCAGCCTCACTTGCACACTGGGGCAAAGAGTAAAGATTTAAAAAAAAAATTAGGAAACGTGGAAGTGGAGAATGTCAGAGGATAAAGCACTTGCCATGTGAGCGTGAGGTCTGGAGTTTAGACACCCAGAAACCACTCAAAAGCCAGGTGGGTATGGTCCACCTGTAACCCCAGGGTTTACTCAGGACACAGAGATGGGATTTGCAGGGCAAGTTGGCTACCTAAATTAGCCTAATCAGTGAGCTCTGAATGCAAGACAAAGGCCTCAATGTACAAGGTGGAGAGCAACTGAGAAAATTCCCTGATATCAGCCTCTGGCCTCCATACATGTGCCCACATACACAAACATGCATGCATGCCCAACACACACACATACACACACACACACACACACACACACACACACACACACACACACACAGTCTAAACTATGTGGCCAGCATGGATGACCTCTTGCTCATAATCTGAACTTAAGTAACGGACAATATTTCCATGCTTGAAGTGGAGCCTCTGCTTTGGGGAACTACTTAACCTTTAACTTTGATATTTCATAAAGTTGTATTTTTGAGACAGGGTCTCCCTGTAGTCCCAGCTGGCCTAGAACTGGCTATGGAGACCAGGCTGACCTTGAACTCACAGAGATCTGCTTACCTCTGCCTCCAGATTGCTGGGATTAAAGGCATGTACCACCACACCAGGCATAAAGTTGTATTTTCATACCCGGTATAATTAGTCTGTCTTAGAGGAGAGCATTTGTCAAGAAAATCCCATGATGCTTTTCATCTGCTCTCTGCTACTGACTGCCCACTGACCTCTGGCACATAGACCAACTCAGTCACCCAGCCTTTGTATTTCCCCCTCTAAGTTCTATTCACTAAGGTCACTGGGATTGCCCACTGATGACTGCAGAGGCTTTTTTTTTTTTTTTTTTTTTTTTTTTACCACATGTTCCTTCTCACCTCACTTCTGAGGCCTAGTATACACTTTCTCAAAGACCCTGCTTAGACCTGCCCTGCTTTCGCACCCACTTCAAAGATCAGCTTAAACTGTGCCTTTGGCCCATTCCAGCTAAAACCAGTGAGGTGGAGATGCAGCAAGCTCCCTTGCTGGCATGATGCAGCACTGCAGAGTTCAAAAGGCAGCTCCACTCTACAATGCATCTGCCTAAGCTTAAACCTTGTGCCTGAAGAATCTATCACCACCACAGGTGGGCTGAGAGAGCCACCTTGGCATTCTTGACACTGTATTTATTCAAGTATCTCTGGTTTATCCTACAGGACTCTGAAATGCCTGTTCAGACAATCTGTTTAGGACACAAATTTCTTATAAGGTGCAAGCCTACTAATCTAGCTTGGCACAATGACCAATAGGATGCTACATGCAAATGTTGATGGTACCCCAAACCATCCCTGTGTATTCTTGTTGAATTAATTGATGACCTTGTAAGGGTGTGATTTTCTCAGCTAAATAAGAAATCATATCCACTATTGCTTTTCCTATAATGCATGGGTGCTTGTTCCATTATAGAACTAGAAAAAAGGAGGGGAGATGGTATCTATAGGCACCCACTCCATTTTTGTAGCTGCTTTTAGAGGTGGTTTTGGGAATGATAATAGTACCCAGGTACTGGAGTTGGGACTAGAAGAAACTATTTCTGATCTAGCACACACACACACACACACACACACACACACACACACACACACTTTCCCGTGGAGAGCCTGATTTGATTTTATCTTTTTTATTACTGGTTTTTCCTTCTTTCTGTCCCTCAGGATGCAAATAAGCAAGGGCAGGCAATGGACACACAGAAGGCTCAAACCCATATATTCTTAAAAGAATATGTGCAGTCCGGGAGGGATGAGATCCAGTTCCCTGGCATGGGCCAGTGTGCCACACTGCTTTTCATGTGCCTGGCTTCTTCCAAGGACAGGGTCAGTCAGCACAGAAGGCAGCAGTTCCATCTTCCAGGCCACCTCATTTGTGTGTGCTCCCAAAGTGATTCATTTTCTGTGCATACATGTCCCAGATAAACCTAAGTGAAAACATTAAGTCACCTCATTTATCATCTCTATTTGCATGAATTTTTCTCAACCAAAGGGGGCTATAGCACTTCCCTACATTTATAGGGCTTGCATATGATGTCAGCATTCCAAATTCTTTTTATTGTTGTTTGTTTGAAACAGAGGCTCATGTATCCCAGGCTGGCCTTGAACCCAAGGGTGACCTTGAACTTTCCATCCTTTTGCTTATGTCTCCTGAGTACTCAGATTACAGTGTGTACCACCAATCTTGGTTTATAACATCCCACATCCTTAACATCAATCTGAAGGACCCCAAAACTTTTTCTCACTTGGAATCAAATGATATCCAAAGTCCTATTTTCCATGTAGCCAACACCACACTTATTTTAAAAATCCTAGGGATGGGGGACATTCTTATATCTGTTTAGGATTTTTTCTACCATGAGAAAAAATAAGTGGGTTTCAGAGAAAGATGTTGAAATAAAAAATAATATGATAATGTATTGCTTATTTTGTTTTCACCAGGAGGAAGCTATGGTTAAAAGAAACTGTTCTCCAAAGTTCAGCAAGTAATTCATTCCTGGAATTGCCTCTCTCCCTCCTCTGACCTACCCATCTAGCCACTCACCTACACTCCTTCCATTTCATGATGCCTGAAATTTAACTATAGCTGCCTGTGCATTGAGTTCTTTTAGAATTCAGGAAGTCAGATTTTAAAACATGGAACCACGGCTATTAAACTAACGCCCGCCCCTAGGTTGTGACTCTTCAGGGGTACAATGACATTTTTATTTAACAAACAGATGAAAAATGTAAAAGTTCGACTTCAAATGTTTTATTTTGTGGATTCTGTACAGTTCAAGGTAACAACGTTAGAAGTCAAATAAAATGCCAGTTAAATTCGGCTACTATCAACAGCCAAAAACTTTCAACGTAAAAAACAAAGCAAGCTGCTGAAAGACCATGAAATAATCTTGGGTCATTTGCTAAGGCCATCACAAACTAAGACGCGCAGTCTAGGCAGTTCTTCAACTGCAAAGAAAGATTTTAGGGAGCTCTGGTTAAGGACCGCAGGACAGCGCAGCAAGAGCTTCTCATCTGCCTGCTTCGCAGCTGGGTCTGTCCAGTCACCCGCGGTTTGGGATCCCAGTCCTCTTGTCTTTTAAGGAGAATGTTAATTACCGAGCTTCACAAGTCTGCGGTTACGAAATACCTTGTTACCTATTTTAGTAAGTCCAGAACACGGAAGATGGATGGGTTTTGTTTGTTTTCAAGCAAGCTCAAATGTTGGTTACTCTATCTTCGGGAAAGAAAAGACTAAAGGAAGATAAATCTCGAATTCTAAGCTGCCTTTCTAAGACCCCAGATTTAAGAGCGAATTCTCGCCACAACAAAAACATCTGGGCACGAGCCACAAAAACAGGATCATGACAGCCAGGTGGCAGACGCAGACGAACTTCCCAACCCCCAACACCCTGGCGCTGTCACCGCCCCCACCCATTGCACCTCGAATCCGAAATACTGGGCCACTGAAGGCTCTCCATCTGCGACGCCCTTGAAGTTTGCGCCGGTTATCTGGGCTTTTCAGATCTCCTAGATCCGCATGGGCTTGGCCGGTGGGATGGTGGGAGAAAGGGCGCCTGTGAGCTCAGGCCCAGGAAGAGGGAAAGAAATCACCCCTCTGAGGCGCGGCAGTTGGGGTGCAGTCCCTGCGTCTGGCTGCTGACCGATCCCAGGAGGTCGCGCTCGCCGCTGGCCTCTCGCCACGTCCAGTGCGATCTGAACAAACTGCACCGTATCCTCACCATCCCTGCATAGTACAGCGCACAACCCACTGGGTGAGGTTGGGGTGGGGATGTCTGCCCTAAATACATGGAATCTATCTAGAACCCCAAGCGGTTCCAGAGATCCTTGGACCCCCCGACTTGGGACAGCTTTAGATTTCCAGGGAGTCGGGGGGGGGGCGGGGGGCGGGGGGAAGGCGCCCTACAATCTTTCCAAAGTCTGGGCAAGAAGACTGGAAATATTCTCCTTACTCGTGTCAGCTCTCCTTGGACCCAGGACTCCAAGGCGCCGGAAGATTGGCTGAGGTCCTGCCCCGCCCCAGGCCCTGCCGGCTCTCACTTGGAGAACTGAGCGTGCACAGCTGCCAGGCCCAGGCCAGCGGGGACCAGATGCGGGAACTTGCACACCGCACAGGTGCAGAGGCCGGGGCCGCCTGCCCCGCCACCCGGGAGAGCGAACTGGCCGCACGGCTGCTCGTCCAGCGCTAGCGACAGGTACTTGGCGGGGCGAAGCGCTTCGGGGGGACCCATGGAGCTTGGTGCCAGCAGCACCGAGCCGGGCGCGGCGGCCAGTAGGGGCAAGCCCGCCAGGAGCAGACGCGGCGCGGCGGGCCCCGCACCGTCTCCGAGCGCCCGGCGCAGCTCCTGCAGGGAGCTGCCCAGCAGCAGGATGTAGTTGCGGGCGAGCAGCAGCGTGGCGATCTTGGAGAGCTTGCGGCCCGGCGCGCCCTGGCAGTGCGCCGCGGAGTAAGGCAGGATGACTTCGCGCAGCGCGTCCATGGCCAAGTTCAGGTCTTGCATGCGCTTCCGCTCCCGGCTGTTGATCTTGCGCCGCAGCAGCTGCTGCTGCTCCTCTTTGGCGTCCGTCCTGGCGCCTCCAGACCCCGGTCCGGTGCTCAGCGGCTCGGCGGGCGCCTCTGGCTTCTCGCGCCCGGCCTTGGGGAGGAGAGGCGCCGCGATGGAGGAGGAGGAGGACGTGGAGGAAGAGGAGGAGATGGGAGGCTGCCGGTAGCCCACTAGCTCGTACAGGGAGGTACCGAGCTGCACGTCTCCAGGCCGCTGTGGCCGCAGCATGGTGGCAGGGGCCGTGTTCACGCGCGCCTGGGAAACCGCATAGTACATTTGGGGGGGCGCTGGGGGCGACCAAGGGCGCCCTTCCGGAACGCCCCGGGTGGGCCGGTCTGCGGGCCGCCCTCCCCGCGGACTTGCGCGCGGACAGCGGATGGAGGGGCAGCAGCTCGCGCCTGACACCTTTAAACCCGGCTTGGGAACCTGCGGGCACCGTGGTTGGAGGGGTGCAGCCAATGGAGGCGAGAGCCCAGGCGCAGGCGTGTGTTCATTGGCCGCCTGCGCTTCAGCCGGCGCTGAGGTGCGGTTGGCATCGCTGGAGGTGGTTATCGTGGGCGCTTGCGCGGGTGTCGCAGGCCAGGAAGTGGGGGGAGGACATATTCCGGAGAAGTGCAGTTGTTGGAAAGTTCTGGTTGCGCTAAAAAGCATTTGCCTCTCTCCAGCTCCCCTCTGAATCTACCTTTTTCTCCTTCCTTTTATACACATACAAATCCTTTTAAAATGTAGCCAGTCGGTAATCCAAGCCTTGGGAGGCTAAGGCAGGAGGATTGTTACGATTTGGAGAGCATTATGAGTTAAGAATAGCGAGTTACAGACCAACCTGGGCTACAAAGTGAGACTGTATTAAAAAAAAAAAAAAAGGAAAAAGGACCAAATATTCATATAACATACCATTTACCACCGAGTGATTCCTAAGAGCACAGTTCAGTTGTGTTGAGCCCTGTGCATTCACATGGTTCTGCAACTATCTCCAGAATGTATCTGCTTTTGCAAAATTAAAACCATTACAAGAGAAGTCCTCCATCATTCACTCCTGGTAATCTGTGTCCTGTGTTATGTCTCTGTGGTTGTTCTACTCTGAGTACCCCATATAACCAGTATCATACAGCGTTTGTCTTTTAGTGACTGGCTAAATTGGTGACTTAGCAATTGTTTCAAGCTTCATCTGTGTTGGAGGTAGCATGTATTCAAGTTCCTCCCCCATCCTGCCCTTTTTTGGGAAGGACTTTGTGTCCCAGATTGCCTCCCATTTCAGGATAACCTTGAAATTCTGATTCTCCTATCCTCAACTCCCAAATGCTGAGAATACAGCGATTTAGTACCACACTGGATTTATGCAGTGTGAGGAGCTGAAATCAGGGTCTCAGTGCATCCTGGGCAAGCACTCTACCAACTGAGCTACAGTCCTGGCCTGAATCCTATTCCTTTTGAGTAGCAGGTAATATATTACATTTTCCAATAATATATTACATTTTCTGTGACTATTACCTTTCCTTTAAGCATTCACAATGGGTGGTTTCAACCTTTTGGTTATTGTAATAATACTGCTGTGAATATGGACATAACCTGGCTTTGCTTTTTTAAGAGAGAGAGAGAGAGAGAGAGAGAGAGAGAGAGAAAGAGAGAGAGAGAGAGAGAAATTAGAAGCATTGGATCCCCCTGGAGCTGGAGTTACAGGTGGTTGTGAGCTGCCTGATGTGGGTGCTGGGACCTGAACTTGGGTCCTCTGCTTGCTCTTAACCATTGTGGCATCTCCGCAGCCCTTGTTTTTTAAGTACATAATTTCCCATCAGGTTCAGAAAACTCAATTTCTATGCTACTTGTCAGTAACATTTGAATGGTTCTCTCTGCCATCCCCACCCCCATCCCTCTGATTAAAAGGTCTGTAGAGTCTTTGGGGATGGATTTATCTCTCCCCCAGGTGAAAGGGATGTGTGCTCATTTTTATCAGTGACTTGACTCTTGCTTAAGCAAAACCCAGTCTGGCCTCTTATCAGAAACAAAACAACATCCCCACACTCCTGTTAAGGGTGGGGTGGAATCTTTGTCTTCCCCAAGTAAAATGGTATTACTTAGTGGCTCTGAAAGTTTCATCTCCGAACACCAACCAGTGTGTACTCTCCTGAACCTTGTCATCAGAGTGTTGAGAAAAGTCCTGGGGGAGAGTCTTTTTGGTATCTAACTTTCTCTTGTCCAATATTATATTCACAGGTGGCTATTTAAATGTAAATTAAGTAATCCAATGAAGCTTAAAACTGGATCTCCAACTGCACTCTCATTGCTTTAAGTGCATAGTCATGACAGGTGACCAGTGGCTACCTGCTGGATAGTAGATATGGCATATTTCTACTATGCCAAAAAGTGCCCATCTGAGGTGTAACAGAAAATGAACTTACTCCCCTTGATACTCTTTGGCATAAGATAAGGGCGCAATGGAAGGACCCATCTGCCATGAGAACTGAAGTCTGCTCTAACTTGCTGATTTCAAGGCTGCTCTGTCTCATTTTCTTCTATCACCGTTCACCCCATAGATCTACTCTAGTCTCTGCTTCCAGTCTCCAACTGTATCTATAACATCCTGCCTCAGGTGCAATGGCAACACTGCCTTGCTTTTTGCATCTCCCTCCCACCTGCCCCCTTTCATCATATTTGGCAAACTACTGATAGCTTCGTTCCATAGCCTGGTTGTCTTGTTGTGGGTGTCATCTTGTTCAGGGCAGGGAATTACCTGCTTGTTTCTACATCCTTCTGAAGCCCAGCACTGTGCTTTCCATCTCCTGTGTGTTCAAGAGATGTCTGAGGATGGGTTTGAAACCACCACTAGCTTACAGTCTCACCCTTTGAAATATGCAAACTCCCAAATGCTCACAGTAAGGAGTGTGCTGCAGATTTTACAGAGGACAGGGAGCTGGTCCCCTACTCCAAAGGGGCCTGGCCTGACATGGTAATAAAAGCTTCACTTAGGGAGAGAGAAGGAGGAAGCTGAGTCTAAAAACAGAATCATACCGACAGGAAGCAAGGAGACAGGCACCAGGAAAATAGCCTCAATAGTTTTGGGCAATGAGCCTCAACACCTCACTCCCCTTGATACTCTTTGGTGTAAGATAAGGGGTGCAGTGGAAGGACCACTCATCATTTCACCCATAGACAAAGCAACTTGCTTCCTAATGTGTTGCCATAGACACTTGTATCTGGCTCTCATGGGACTCCTGTAGTTGCTCACGGTAAGAGAGAGGTTCCCAGGGAGTGCCAGACTGCTGAGTACCTGGGTCAAAGAATGGAGGGCTGAGTCAAGAGCCAGCCACTAGTGACAAGGTGATGAGTTGCAGCCATGCTCTTGAAGAGTGAGTCCCCAAGATGCCACCTCCACAAATTCTGCATCCACTTCGCTGGCAGGCCCTGCCCTATCCTTGCTCTCAGAAGGATAGTCCAAAGTGCTAGATTAGGGCAGGTCTTGGAGACCTCTCCTTCTGGCTTCTTCCTCTGCCTATACTCTAGGCAGAAGCCTTTGGGTTTCTTTGCCCCAGGTACAGAAGTGAAACTAAAGGCAGAACCCAACCTTGAGTCCCACATGCCTGGAGTGTACCCCCCATGTTTCCCACTCTCAGACTGGAGCACTAGGAGTCAGAGATAGAAGGGTACACACTACTTTTCCCTCTAAGAGACGCTTTGATTGTGGCTAATCCTGAGGGCTGCTTTTACCCTTAGCCTCACTTCATCAACTTCCTCTTGAGAACCCCTTTCCCTTCATCAAGGAGTCTGTCAATTGAACATGATGATGGTCAGAGTGGATTTAAGTGTTCCAGTGGAGGGCCTCAGAAGAGAGTTCCGGATGGCCGTACGGTTCCAGCATGGGCACAGGATTTGGCATTCCTTGGAGCTGGTGACTTGGATGGCCCCTTGTGCCGAGCTTGGAGTTCCAACAGCATGCAAAGTGTGACAGCTGGCAAAGGCCAGTGAGGTATTGTGATCACTGGCAGGAGCCCCACAGGCTGTCTCAAGGGGAGGCAGCTGCTGTGGCCTCCCACATTCAGGACATGCTTGGGGAGCAAGTTTCATTATCCCTAACAACACTCTTGTCTTTGCTCAAAGAGGCTGTGTGTATGTGGGCTGGTGACAGCTTCCAACCATAGGTATGTGTGTGTGTGTGTGTGTGTGTGTGTGTCTTCATTACATGAAACCTAGGATGTCCTGGCCACCCTGGCCTTAGGTCAAGAGGCTAGAACCTGTGAAATGTAGGCAATGCGTGATGTGCTGGCTTGTTTTGGCTGAAGCACCACACATAGTTCTAAGTACACGGACAGGCTGTGCTTCAAAAGCCTGACCATGACTTGAAGACTCCCTTTTCTTTTCTTCTCGTAGAAGGCTAGCTAAGTGTTAAAAGATTGTCTCTGCTAAAATGTGCTGTTTAAATGGGCAGGTGAAGTTTCTAAATTATTAGGGAAGTAAAAATTCTTTGGGAAATTTAAATTGTTTGGTAGGTATTGTGGTTCCTATCAATATAGGAAGTGTCAGCCACATCCAGCATTAACCTTGTATCAGGATCCATTGTTGCCTTCAAACATAATCTGCCAGAGGTAGGGAAGAGCTACAGAGAGAGGAGCCCTTGGCTTCATGCTGGGTTTCCCCTTTCTGGGAAGAGGAGAGTAAATAGTAAAGAGGGAAAAAACAGAAAAGAAAATTGGTTACTTTTTGATATTTCTTCTTGAACGGGGAACACTCTCTATGGTCCTCTTCACCACAATTTAAATCACTTAGAAACAGTTATGTTTAAATAAAGATTCCAGGGCTGAAGAGATGGTTCAGTGGTTAAGAGCACTGCCTGCTCTTGCAGTGGACCTGGGTTTGATTTCCAGCACCCACAGGGTGGCTAACAACTGTCTATGTAGCTCCAGTTCCAGGGAAATCTGACAGCCTCTTCTGACCTCTGCGATCATTGCACAACATGGGTGCACTTAACATACATGCAAGCAATACACTCATACACATAAAATAAAAATAACAAAAAGATCCAAGCTGGAGAAATACCAAAGACCATGAGTTGTGTCCATTTTCAAATGACAACACAGTTCACCAAGCTGCTACGAATGGTAGTGTTTAGTAACTGACCACACTGTTTTTAAATCTCTATAGTCACCTTCATTATCTTTATTTCTAACATGGAATGGCATAGGCAGAAATATAACATTCTCTTCTCTGCTTGTAACACTGAAGATTATCAGATGTAGGAGGTGTGTTTTACAAATATTATAGAGAAGATTTTGTGTATGTGTATATGGCATATGCATGTGCATGCCTGTGTGTACACATGTAGAGACCATAGGTTGATATCAGGTGTCTCTGTCACTTTCCAGTTTTTTGAGACTGTCTCTCACTGAACCTAATTCTCACCAATTGGCTAGACTTGCTGGCCAGTGAGCTCTGGATATCCACATGTCCCCTCCCCAGAACTGGGGTTACAGATGTGTGCTGCTGTGCCCCATTTCACATGAGTGCTGGAA